AAAAAAAAAAAAAAAAAACCGACGACCTCTAGACTTCAAAAGTTTAAGCACTGAAATTTTCAGAATAGCTTGTCTACTCAATAATGTTCCTGATGTTTTTTTTCTTTTTCAAAGTAACTTTGTAACAGCTATGTGGAATCCTAATTGAAGAAACTTCGGCGCCTCTTTTTTTTTGCAGCCTTCCAATGTTTCATGTGATGGCATAAAAAACGCTTTTGTGCTAAATATAAAGTTTCTTCAAAGGACAAAGAAGGAAGAGGAGAAAAACAGCAGTTTTTTTGTCTTCAGTAAATAAACAACAATAATTATTGCGTTTGAGTGAATTTATAAATAATCGTTTGCGATGGTGTTGTTTTTTTTTCCTAGCGAATGAGAAGAGTGGGAGGGGAGGAATGGGGGAGAGGGGAGAGAACAGAGAGAAGAGGGGAGAGCGAAGGGCAAAGGGAACAAGTGCTTAACCGTCTTCACCGTAGTTATGTTAATATTTTAAACCTTTAAAAGTCCATAATTTAACCCAGTTGTTGGTAATCGCTAATTGGAGATACATACTATAGTTGACATTGTTTGTATCTAGCTGGTGTATCTGTTCGCTGTTTGCTACTGTTTATCAGTCCCAAAAGCCGAAGGAAGAAATGAAAAAACGGATTTAAAAAAACGGAAGAGAAAAGAACGATATTACGCGACCACAGACCGGAACGGAACCAAAAGTTTTTTTTTTTTCTTTGCTGTTGCTGTCATCATAGGTATCGTTGTTGTTGTTAAGGCCAAATGACACGTCGTTTTTTTTTTTTTTTTCATCCTGGATGATCATTTGAACTCGCTAAAGCATTAATCCGTATGTAAAGAGGCAAAGAAGGCATGATTAGCCCTTGACGGATGGATATTTTAGTATTTGGTAATTAATTTATCTCTAAGGTTTTTCCACAGACGCACATACAGGAAAAAAAAAATGTGGGAATTTTTTTTGTTTTGGACAAGATGAAAAAATAATGTATAATCATGTCGTTCGGAATGTAAAAAAAATGTGAATAAAATAGAGGGTGTAATTCCTATTCGCTTTATTTAGCTTTGTTTTAGCATGCGGATGTTGTTCCTGTTGTTTTTAAGTTTTTATAATTGCAAACAGATTAACAAGCATAAACGACAGCGTAAACAGATGTATTAGAAATTTTCATTCTTTTCATTTTTTTTCCTCGTCCTAACCAAATGGAGTGGTAAAAATATAAATGGATACTGACTAACAAACAATTGGGAATGTCCTATCAATTGTTTTCATTGGATATTTCACCTAAAAACTTTTCACTATTTAACGAAAAGCTGAGATTCATTTAACATAAGGTTTCTGCTCGTCGTTGATCTCAGGGCAAACGGGGAAACTGTTTGCAGCTGGACGAAGCAACAAATAATGAAAGGCACAAAGGAACGCAAAAAAAAAAAAAAATTCTCCACAACCTAACCGATCGTCATCAGAGCAAAACTGAACGGAATTTGCGCTAGATGACTGCCGTCTGCTCGCCTTTGTGGCTGTTTCTGCTTTCTTCGCTTACACTTTCTTACTTGGCTAAAAAGCTAAAAAAATTGAGTGATAAGTGCAAATTTACACATAGACACAATGTATTTTCCTTTTTGTTCAAAAAGAAAAAAAGATCAAATTTTTAAAATGTTTATTCGTCATCTTTTTCTTCCCTTTCCATTCTTTTTCTAACCTCTACAGTCGTCTTGTAAAACTAATTGGTGATTATTATTTCCACTTTTCTCGTGTAACACTCCAACCATATGTATTATCAAAGAAGTTTTTTAAACATTAAAACAGCTACGCAATTCAAGGGTGTATTTAAAACACATTTCTTTCTTGTAGTAAACTTTTGCTTTTAAATAAAATAAGG